ACGTGCAGGAATCAGTTGATTACGACTTCGACTTACTCCAAAACTATTCAGTGTGTAACTTAATCATTTTGAGTAGGTACACATCAACTTATCATCTCTCAGTTGCGTCTCTGTCCTGGGACAGAGTGCGCTCAGGGTCTTCTCTGTCAAAGTAGAGAGGTGCAACTGAGAAAATTATACTGAAGAGGTACCCAACCCCTGGGGAAGAGCTGCCCGAGGCCGTTCCCTCCCATTGCACCAGAGAGAGGGATCGGTGCTCTCACCAAGGCTAGCGCAACTGACGGTTGCGGGGGATCGGGGAATTTTTGTTCCTTGCCCGGGTACGCGCTCGGGCTCCTCACATTAAACCGACCTTGTGTCACAACCTAACCTCGTGGGGGGTTGAGTAAATATCTACTCCAGAACTATTCGACCTTCCAATAGCAGCTCTCACTACTTGTTATCACAATAACCCTTTACTTATTCATCCACTGTGTTGTTCAAGTGATATTCCTATTAACAAGGAATATAACACGCAAAACATGAAATTTCTTCCATGGAGCTAAAACTTATGGAGGCGTGTGTGGAGGTTTGTCTTTGCTAATTCGTTACGTTTTGCATTGGGCATTGTCGTAACTCATTTAACATTAGCTTATATGACATACATAAGCAACGAATTAGTAATATGTTGCGAAAGGAGACATTTCGCTAAAGATTAACGATTCGTTTTATCCTTTCCGATAAGACCTTACAGAAAGCAAATACCCCTCGTGATGTCTCCCCTACAGTTTCTTAATGTTGGCATCTGGTAGATTAGTATCTGTTTGACATCTTTGATAATTTCTATCTCCTTTGATATGGCTTCCTTTCAACTAATAACTTCATAGCTCTATCATCAACGTCGGATGGCTACTTCGATCTGGATTCATCTACTAACGAAGTTTCTCCATGATAAAACATTGCTAACACATTTTCTATTTGCCAGTTATTTATGTCTTGATGACAATAAACACTACATATATTTTAATATTATTAGGTCACTTTAATCTTCTCTGCTACTACTGTCGTATAAAAACTAAGGTATTTTATTGTACTCCAACTTTATTCCTAATTGGCATGAATGATTACGAGTTACGTCAACACATTACTAATTACAAATAGCAATATGAATTAAATTAGAATATTTAATTGATTAAATGCTGGTCTTATACGATACATACTTTGTGGCAGATAAAAGTTACTAGCGATGAACTATCCCCATACGGTTAAAAATGTGATTGTGCTTTGGGCTTATAAGGGTTTATCTGTTATATTGGGTTCATCTGTTCAGCTTCCTCAGGAAGAGCATATTTTTCATAACTCTACCAATTGTTCCTTGAGGACCCTACGCGTCTTTTCTTTTAGTAAAATAGAACTAGAACTGTCTTCGTGCAGAAGTATCGGCATGTTTTTGTTGTGTTAATATTTATTGTACGGTTTTTATATATCTGAGGGGAAGTGTGGCATCATTTGTTTCTTATTTTATTGTGGCTGTAATTAGAACCTGGGTGTTTCCTTTGTTAAAATCTGAGTCATTGTGTTTTTTTTTGTTTATTATGAACTTCATATCATCTTCGTCAATCCTATGGCAAATTATGACTGAATCTCAAAGCTTCCAGTTGTGCATCCGATGCTTTGAATCTGGATACATCTGTAATTAAATCCATTCAGCTGACTTTACAGCATTTGCTTCTAAGAATCAATGTATTTATTTTAATTTGAAAGATAGAAATTTGGTTATTGTTGTTGTAACTGTTCGAATGTCTCCATTTGCCTTAAAAAAACATCCTCAGAGGACAAAACGCGTCGGCTAAGATAAGTTTTCCTTTTGTCTTTATTCATATTGTCCTTTTACAGATATAATCTAACTGAAATTTGTACATTATATATATATATATATATATATATATATATATATATATATATATATATATATGATGGCCCATATTGTACAATAAAATTGCTAACTGTTCAATGTTTAATCGTACTTCATATATATATATATATATATATATATATATATATATATATATATATATCGAATGCTTTTGAGGTTTCTTCTAGACTCGATGAATTACTTAATTATGATTAATTCAAATCCTCCTAATAATCTATATCGATTTTATATCCTTGCTTAAATCGGCTTCTAATGCTCTGAATGGAGCGGCTTGGGGATAGTTGCCGTGGCTCAGTCCTATGGTTAAGGGAAACTCGGATGAGTTCCACCACGGAATATGTGATCGAGCGGCGCTATACCGAGTCTAATTCGTTACCTCTTCGTCACCGAGGCCAGTTGGTATGATGGTTGCCTGATATGGTAACAGTCCAGGTTTCAATTCTCGGTAGTGGATGCGCACTGCTGATGTGTCCCAAATATAGAACGAAACGACTGTCCAGTGCTTTCTGCATGTTGAGATTTCTTCTAGACTCGATGAATTACTTAATCATATATATATATATATATATATATATATATATATATATACACACTCTTCCAGCTTTTTTTCGATGTATGAGGGTCAAGCAACTCAGATCTTAGGAACCGACAGGTGATGATTTGATTATGTTGGTGAAGGATTTGTGCAGAAGCAACCACTTCTTGAAGAACTGAATACAGAGACCTGGTGCACAACATGACACAAGGTCTCCAAAAGACCCTCCACAGGTTTTGAATTCAGAGTTGTCTTTCTCCTAGACCAGTCGCCATACAAGGCTATAGAACCCAGCCTGTCCTCGGTGGAAGAAAAAGAGGATCCACACTTTCCACAAGGTTATGCAATTCGAACTCGGCTCTCGCTTCCTCAAACCGAACTGCTATCCATTACTCCACCGTACCTTTTATATATATATATATATATATATATATATATATATATATATATATATATATATATATATATATATATATATATATATATATATATATATATATATATATATATATATATATATTATATATTTATATATAAATTTATTTTACTATATCGGTCATCATTTAATGTAAAGCACAATATAGAAATTGACTTCTTCGAATAAAACCTCTTTTTGGCAACTGATTAGCGTTAAAGACCAAATCCCTGTTTGTAATAGAAATAAACAATAAAATAATCCAAAACAACGAAAAATAGTCTTTCGGTAAACTGATGTACATACTCAGTCTAACAATGGTTTATCTTAATACTAACACCAGGCATGATCGTTCCATGTTCCATCGTCGTATTTCTGGTAACAAACTAACATAGAAAATCGGTACTTATCAAGTTGTGAAGTCTGGTTACATGATAGATAAATATAAAGTCAAATTGAGTTTTATATAGAGAGCGTTTATTTATTTTTTTCTCTCTCTTTTGTATTTTATTCCTTTTCGAGAGGATTTAATGAGACTATGGTGCTACTCTTTGAATATTTCCTCCGGCTTCTGTACAGATGCTACTCTGTCTTCCCTTTGCATGAAGTCATCTTCTCCGTGCGACACTTCATGAGAGATATTTGCTGACTGAGCTTAATTCTCTCTATGCGCGAAAAGGAAGAAGTCTATTTGGGAATCAAAAGATTCTAGAATGAACAATTGCTTAAAAATTTACAGCTGAATGATAAGTTCCATGCCATGTTAGTGGAAGAGGACACGTTATGGTAACAAACGCTTAACGATTTATCGATGCCTTTGGCTCATGGGGAAAACCAAGAAAACCTTTTCTATATGTGGGTGTGGAGTTCCTATGTGTGGGCGCCGTAGAATAACCTCGACAAATGTTCAACAAGAAACTTAAGCCTTGATCATTTTCGATCAGCTGTACAACAAGAAAACAAAAGAAAACAGAAGAAAAAAGAAAATAAAGAATTGAAAAACGAAGAAGAAAAAGTAGAAAAATGAAAAGAAGAGAAGAAAAAGAGAAAAAGAAGAAAGAAGAAAAGCAAGAAAACAGAAGAAAACAGAAGACATAAGAAGGAAAATTAATAAGTTAAAAAACGAGGAGAAAGAAAAGAAAAGACGAAAAAAGAAAAGAAAAAATAAGAAAAAAGAATAGAAAAAAAAAGCGATAAAAACAAGAAAAACATTTTATTTAATTGTAAAATATAGTCAAAATATCCTCAAGTTTTCAAAATTTAATCAGTTAGCCTTAAGATAATGTTTCTGTCCTCTTAAAATTTCAAATAATAATAATAATTTTACTTTTGCTTATATATATAATTTGAAAAAGTAATATCCTTAGATTTATCTTGATAGAGTCCATCCGAGGACAAAACGCGTGGGTGAAGAATAGTTTCACGATAATATGTTTCTTTCCATCTTTCATTTTATTATGGTATTTTTCTGCTTCGTATACTGATATTCCTCCTCTCCTTATTTTTCATTTATAATCGAATCACCCAAAGGAAGGCAATAATGCCACTAAGATACTAGACGTAGTGAAACAGAATACGAATAAAGGAAAGCCAATCTTAAAGAGGAACAACAGATAAACATTCAAAAGACCGTAGAGGAGTGTGGACCTGGTTATGGACAAAACCTCTTCAACCTCATTAAGGAAAAGAATAAAAAAGATAAATAGTAAATTAAATTTCAGTGTTTAGACGGTGAAATTGGAACTGAAGATTTAATGGAATCTCTAGAATGAGACAGAAATCGAACCCTAACAATGCAATAAGGGATAAACATCTACTCCTGTTAAAAGACAGGGAAGGAATTTGAAAAGGACGATAGGTCAAGCTATCATTTCTTCTTCTTCTTCTTCTTGTACTACTACTACTACCAATACTAATACTACTTCTACTCCTTGCTATTGTTGTTCTTCCATCTCTTCTACTTCTATATTTTCTTTACATCCTACTCTTTCTAATAGTGTGTCTTCTTCTATTACTACTACTACGACTACTACTAATACTACTACTAATACTACTACTACTACAACCTGTTTTTCTTTTTCTTCCATCTGTTAAACTTCTTTAATATTTCATTTATATCCTCCTCTTCCTCATAGTGTTTCTTCTTCTTTTTTCTTTAATACTACTACTACTGCTACTTCTTGTTGGTATTTTTCCATCCGTTCTACTTTTATATTTCCTTTACATCCTCCTCTTTATCATAGTGTTTCTTCTTCTTCCTCTTCAGCTGCTGATGCTGCTACTACTAGTAGTAGTTGTTCTTTTTTCTTCCATCCGTTCTCCTTCTATACTATTTCATTTGCATCTTCCTATTTATTTCTCAGACTTTTCTTCTTCTTCTTCTTCTTCTTTGTAATCTGACTATAGTTGGTGACTCGTTCTAGACAGATTACCAGCGCAATTCTCATGTGAATCTCGAGTAGATAGGGCTTTCAAATCATGAGATCACGGAAACTTAGATGTAGCTAGGACAAAACTGGTTTCCTTGCTTATTAAGAAGGATCCCTCGTAGTTAGAGTTAAGTTAAAAAGAATGGTTCATGAGGCAACGAATATGACCGTTTTACTTCTAATTGATATATCGCGTGCATCACATTGCAGGATACTCAAACCGTTACTACAAACACGTGCATATCTGAGGATTTCCGGAATTACCTTGATGAATTGTTCACCTGGGGCACGATCTGAGCTCACCTCATTTCGAAGCCTATTTGACCGTCTTTCCTCGCCCTGAAGCGGCTGATTGCAAGGGTGATGTAACATTCTTAGATCGGGAAAGCCTTGAAACTTGTTGGTCTGTACAAGACTCCTGGCTTGGATGAGCTTCATGACGAATTATACAAGAGGCAGTTGGTCGTCTTTGTTGCCTAGCAGGGGTTGATTAACAACTTCACGATGAAAGGACCTATATTCCAACACATCACCAGGGTTGTGACCAAGTTACTACGAAAATACAAAAACGGTGGGGATGGGATTAGTACTTTTTGGTGCTTAACGATATTAAATACAGAGTTAAAGATTTTGGCCAAGACATTAGCCAGGCGTTTTAGGGATGTCCTGCTTCTTTTGAATGGACCCGGGAAATCTGTGCTATGATGTGTAGGACTGTTCAGAAGAGCCTTTACTTGGAGCAGTCTAAGGCATTAACTAGAGTTGACCAGAGGCTTCTGCTACTTTTTTCGGACTTGGAGCCGACATTCGTATGCAAATCTCATTGCGCTTTTGAATGACGTTAGTTCGGAGCCTTTCGTATTGTCTCGCTCCATTCGTCAAAGTTGACCGCTTTTGATTTCCCTTTACGTTCTTGCTATTTACTATCAACCCAGTGTTTCCTGTTATTTAACCAGCTATGGGTAAATAGCAGGACAGGCTGCGTTGTATAGCCTTGTATGGCAAGCGGTCTAAGAGAAGGAAATTCAAATTCAAAGGTTGGTCTCCGTCAGGCTATCTTCCCCAAGAAACAACACTACTAGTGCGGTTGCAGTACATGTGATGCCTCTACGATACTGGTGGGTTGCGGGATTCGCGCGCGATCTTGCGTTAGAGCCTATAGTATATCCGGACCTTACGCTATCCGATGCTACCATATCAGCCAGATACTCCGGCTATTCCGACAATATGAATTTGCTTGCCACGAGCACTACCAAGATTGACTAAGTAAGCATAGAAATCAGAGGGAATGATACGATAACTATGTCTATGATCAATCAAGATAAGATTGTTGGCTTGCAGTTGTGCAGGTGGAAGGGAGTTTCCCTTCACCGGTTCTTTCTTTCATCTGCGGACACAGCTGAATCTCTCCTTAAAAAAGAGATCGGAAGATTGTGCATCGCACATCTACCGCATACTTCTTTACCGACTCTCGTGCTTCCACTCCTGTGTACCCAACTAATTGCTTTAGTTTGAGTCTTGTTCTCCCTCTTGTGGCTAGTCAAGGCTCCCCAGTTACATAGCAACCTCTTTTTAAATCCATTCGTATGAGGTCGGTCTATTAATGCTTATCGTTGAGATTAGTTAAGAAACGATTCCCATCAGCTTCATAGTTCGGATATATACGCAATCGGATGGAAATGACCAATTCTGGGAGATTAAATCTTTTCATCCCTGAAGAGTGTGCATACTTGCAAGATGGACGAACTCTATTTGTCCAGTGTCGAGTGTTCCTTCTATCGCGAATTTCCAAGGCCTTGAAGATTTTCTTAAGGGTTAACCTTAGCCTCTCTGACACCAGTCCGTTTTCCCTGAAAGCATTATATCAAGTGTTAGAATGGGGTCCGTTCATAATGGTTTGATGAACGATCTCGGTTTGACGAAACTAGATATCGCTCCCTGTGGCCTTTGGTGCATCGATGAGGTTGAGAAATCACTTAGATGTTCATCTTGGGTCGGTAAGATTCTTTGTGTATGAGACTGTCAATCTCGCTGCAATGCGTTATGTTGTAAGTGGGTGAAGAAGGTTGACAACCACTTCTTCCACTGCAGTGTCTTAAAGACGTTGGGAAGACTGTGGAATTCATGGTCAGGATACCGTACTAAAAAACTTTCAACGTTGAAGCTAGTTGTACTGAATTTGCAGCAATGTAGTACTGCTGTTGACAAGGACGCAACCCTTTTTTTCATTTTTTTAATCAAGTTAACTTAGCTAGGGGTCATATACTAATCTGTCCCGAGTATATTTGCCCCGTGTTTCTTTACTTTAACTCGTTTCCCCTACCCCAGTTAGGTGACAGTGTTAGTTTTCAAGTAGACACGTGACGCTTTTCGTATTCCGTCTATGCGTTATTCTTAGGAGTTATTGCCTGTTTCAGTGCGTGCTTTATCAGAACCTATATATTCCAGTAACCTTTTTCTCTGGTCAACTGATATTTTTGCTGCAATTTGAGATTATGAAGGGGATTTTACATACCTAGCTTTGATTACATTTGGAAGATCATTATGCAATGTAAATACACTATGAGGATAGATTTTTCCCAGTTATCCCCCTCCTCCACACACAAAAACTTCCAAGTATGGGGACTAGTTAGTATGTTAGAGAGTCATTATAGTATTTTGCAACCGCAGAAAGAATGGTATGCAAAAGCGTGGCTTTAATTGCGAATGGAATATTGGACATCAAAACCAGCCACTCCCATCTACTAATTTCAGCATTTTGCACGTTTGATATCCGTATGGATATTTTAAGATATTGTTTGTATTGAATTTTTAGAAAAATTCAGCCGATATTAATGTTTTCTTTCTCACATATTCTCACTATTAAGGAGGGGTAACAGTAAAAAAAAAAAAAAAAAAACAGAGATTAATTTGCTCAAAGATAACAAAGATATATATATATATATATATATATATTGCATATTACAGGGCAATGATTAATTGAATCGTTTCATTTGTTTTCTATGGCTTCTACGGCTTATCAAACCTTTGGAAGTTATTTAAAGCCAGAAAATATTTTCAGATTGTGAGAATATTTTTGAGTGGCCTCAGGGAGATCATAATTATTTGTGTGAAAGTGAATAAAAAAAACAAATTAGGTGTACGGGCGTGACTTGCTGTTGGGACATGAGATCCTGATTGATGCCTTAACACATGAGACCCTGATTGACGCCTAAACACATTAATGGCCCCTAGGATAATTCGATATTAATTAGAAAACGTAGAATAAATATCTGGCTTTCATAGGTTTATAAACATACAGCATTTTATGATTCTTTCTATCTATCTGCCTCTCTCTCTCTCTCATCTCATATATATATATATATATATATATATATATATATATATATAATCCAAAGTGAAGTGACTTGAAGCAAGACATATGGTATTCTACATGAGGATGCTGAGATTGCCATAGATCCGACATGACATCAACGACGAAAATGTATAAATAGTCCGAATAATAAGGACACTTATACTTAATATCAGGTAAGGACTGGTGACGATTTCTAGATCACATCATCAGGAAAGTGATTCTAGAACATTTGATACTCACAAAACAGATATATATATATATAGAGAAGCAACGCGTAACCTGCCTTGACAGCAGAAGTAAATGAATGGTGGAACAAGTTTTTTTTTTTAGGTGAAAAACGAAGACAACATTTATTAAGGGCTATAAAGGTCAGAACATTTTGGTGAGAGATGATCGCCGAGGTCCTGAAGAAACAGACAGAAGAATGTGTTTCTCATCTGAATACTGAGGACTAGTTAAAGACTTGAAAGGCAGCCCTATCTTCCAAATCCATATATATATATATATATATATATATATATAAAGATTAGAAAAGGTAATTATTAAATGATGAAATAAGCCAGGTTAGCTGTGAACAATTTGTTATGGAGAGCGAACTTGCGTAATCTCACAACATAAGAGAACAATGGGAATACTGGACGGAGCACCTCATTCGCCAGCGACACAGCCTTATTTTATTCTAAACACAGTTAAAGAAAAACATAGAAGCTGTCAGACTTTGCCCTATCTAAGCGCTTAGTCCGGTTTTATCTCGTCATCAACCGCCTTGAACGCAGATTTGAAACGGAAATTAGAGTTCTGTATTCAGTTTATTGTGCTAAATTATGGGCTCAGATTTTAATAAAAATAGCACATTCCGTTTGAATTTGAACTTCCGTCGGTCGATTTCTCGTCTTAATTACATATTTAAACATCGATTTTGATATCATCAAGTGTGAAAATATCAGCTGTCGTTGCCAACTTCCTATCTCTGTGAGTCTGGATTCCAATTAATGCGTATTTGCAAACAATATTGAGAAATTGATAAAACAGAAATCAAATTACTTCTCGATTCCACAATCTCTTATCTCTGTCTGTGTGGATTCTAAATAATTAATGCAAAAACGCAATACAGAATTTGCTGAATATAAAATTTCCCTCCGCGTGAGGGATTCGATTTTTTTTTTTCTACAGCCAGATTGATAAATTGCTGGCAGAAAAACTGTGAAATGTCATAATTCTTTATTTCTATTTAACTCCTATTAAATAGGGTTGTCAACTGCTGCTCGAAGAAAAGAGATATATAAACAAATTTTAAAGGCCTGAAAATATTTCACATTCTTTAGAATATGAAATAAGTAGAGATAGTTTTTTTTTCTCTGAATTTCAGAGTTATGCTTAGTAAGCTCGCTTCCGGACCATGAGACCCTGGTTCGAATCTCGCTATCGTCGATTCGTAGAGAAAGTGATTTCATGATGTTATCGGTCAGTGGGTGGCGATCTCAACCTGCAGCACTTCTGGGAAGTACCTGAAAATCATAATACGGATTGACCCAAAACTGAACAATTTTGGACGACGATGTTTGTTTAGCACGAAATAATCGTGGCCCAGGTTTTCAGTGTACTGGGCTGAATCA